TTGTCACGTGTCAAAATAGTCTTTATGGACTGAAATATTATCTGAAAACTGCAAAGTGAACAGTTTACAGTTGCAAAGTAACTTTATAAAATTGCCTCCTGGTCGTAAATGTGATTTTCACCAAAAATAACGCACAAACACAGACACCAAAAACCAACTGATGTTGCTTCTGAACCTTCACTTCTTTACTTTAACTTGACTCTCGATTTAGACAACTTCTTAGTAGTATTACGTGCCAAAATAGCCCCATATAGACCCAAATATTATCTGAAAAAAGTGAAAAGTTGCAAAGTAACTTTATGAAATAGGCGCCAGGAGAAGATTTGGCCAATGTGTCTGAACTTGTCCATGCGATCAACATAATTGCACGGATCTTCTGTTAACATCTATAGATAAACCCCCTCTTTATAATTAACGGAGAGAAAGGTGCTGTTCGAAATTAAGAAAAGTGCAAACGTTGACATTCAAAAATACGAAAGAGAAAGCCCTCCTCCCTTTAAATATCGGCCTCGCTTTTATAAAATTGCCAAATGCGGTAAGAGAACATCGGAATTTTCCAGCCGGTCGCCGTACTCTTATGGTAACGTTCAGAAATTAAAACTTTCTTAATTACATGCCCTTTTTTGGATATACTTAGCAGTATAAAAATTATCATATTACATAGTCAAATTAAATAGAAAAGCTCAGATTAAGGAAATAATGGGTTAATTTTATAATTTTACTAGTTTCTGTTGTTAATTTTGTCAAAGAAATTTATTGTATCATAAATTATTAAACATTTGTAACAACTCTACGAACTATATGAAGAGTGGGTGCGTTTGTACTAAATTCAGCTGATAATGAAAAAAGCCTGTAAATAAAAAAAAACCGAACTATTTGTATACCTAATTAGAAAAACTAAATTAAAAAAATTGTTAATTAATCAAGTTCTTCAAATTGTTCTCCATTGGCGTATTAAATTTTTTTATGTAATATAATAATTTTTTTAGGTTTTTATATGCAAAAAGGTTGCCATTGAGCACAATTTTAAAGTATGTAGATTGGTAGCACACTTTTTATAATTCTGCATACCATAAAAAACTTCGTCACAAAAATTGTATTTTTATTCAGACAAAATTTCCACCCTGTATTCACAACGCGATAAAATTGACCATACGCTTTTCGGTACCCAACACTATCTAACATGAGTTTTCCGCAAGTAATAAAAATTATGCAGAGGCAGATCTAGTAATCAAGTACCTTTTCGGTAACTAAGTTCTTTTTAGGTAACTTAGTTACTTTATAAGTAACTATACAAGTTCCTCTGAATATGGCAAAGTTATGTTATTTTTAAAAAGTAACTAAAGTTACAAGTTACTTTTACTGTTATTTTAAAAGTAACTAAGTTACTGCAGGGAACTTAGTTATTTGAAAATAACGTAAATATTAGTTACTTTCCAGCTCTGGGTGTAAGTTATCTGATGTGCACATGAAATGAAATTATAATACAGTTGTTTACTGGAAACCTCATTATTTTCTTCCTGTGTTTTCCGCCGATTTTTTGGTTCAATAAAAAATTAAAAGACATGCGAAACACCCTCGATTGTATTAAAACAATTTGTGATGTAAATAAATCCTACAATGTGTGCAAGGGTTTTAAAAAGGAGTATCGCAGGGCAATTAATAATGAAAAAAAGAAAACTTATGACAAATTTTTAAACAATTCAGATAATAAGGTTAAAGATGCTTGGAGATTAGTTAATTTTGAAAGAAGCAAATCCAACTCTAACAAAAATCATTTGCCATTTTCTGCTGAAAATTTTAATAATTATTTTGTTAACACGGTCAGTCAAATTACAGAAAACTTGCGTAAGCCAGGCCTCAGATCATCTGCAATCATTAAACAATTAAAAACTTCAAGATGTTCCTTTTTCTTACAGCCTATTACCAAATGTGACGTCCTTCAAGCTGTTAGTAAGTTAAAGAAATCCCGCTGTTCGGATTATTATGGCGTCAATGCAATTATAGTTAAAGAAACTATTGATATTTACGCGGAATATTTGGCGACTCTTTTTAACTTGTGCATTACAGAAGGCAACTACCCTGAGGTATTTAAAATTAGCGTTGTGGTACCGTTATTTAAAAAAGGTGAAATTTGCAACTTAAACAACTACAGACCGATTACCATTATTCCTATATTTTCAAAAATCTTCGAAATTATTCTAAATGATAGGCTGTATAACTACTTTAACATTCATACACTATTAAGTCCCGCTCAATATGATTTCCGTAAAAGCTGCTCTACCACTGAAGCAGTTTCCAAAATCATATCTATTATAATTAACTCTTTTGACAAGGGTGAACATGCATCTTTAATATTATGCGACTTGTCCAAAGCTTTTGACTGTGTTTCTTTCAATATTTTACTTCATAAATTAGAGATGTATGGCATTAGAGGCCTTGCAAAAAAATTTTTTCATCATACCTTCAGGACAGAAAGCAATGTGTTGTGGCTAATGGTACCTATTCCAAATTGCTAACCACATAACAAAGTGTACCGCAAGGTTCAATTTTAGGGCCCCTACTTTTCATCATTTATATAAATGACTTTTTTGAATATATTCAACCAAACGAATGCATTGCGTATGCTGACGACACATCTTTAATAGTCACCGATAAAGACCACAAGATACTAACGACCAAGAGCCATAACTCGTTGCAACTTGCTCATGATTGGTTTGCGCACCATAATTTAAAACTAAATAAAGAAAAAACACAAGTAATTACGTTTTCTTCTAACCCTAAGTTTACATCAGGAAAATGCGCTAAAGTTCTAAGAATTTATGTAGACGACCGTTTAAATTGGATCAATCCCATTGACTACCTAGTTAGTAAATTAGCAAAGGCCACGTTTGTTCTAAGGAACTGTGTATTAACACCACCACCCTTCAGGCATGTTATTTTGCACTATTTCACTCTCATTTAATATATGGTGTTAACCTATGGGGTAATTCCTCTAAAGCAAAAAAAGTGTTTTCAATGCAAAAGAAAGTCGTCAAGATGTTAGCCAATGAACATTATAGAGAACACGGTCAAAGTATTTTTGTAAATTTCAAATCATGCCTCTTCCATCTATATTCATTTATTGTGCACTTCTAGAATTCACAAAAAGCAATCCTCGGTACTGACAAATGGCAGCACTCATAAATACAACACTAGAAAGGCTAACGATATGCGAACCCCTTACTTCAGACTTTCCAAGTCTAAAAAGCATTACTATCAAGTGAAACTTTATAATATTCTCCCTAGTAATGTCAGGGACTCGACATTTTATTATTTTAAAAATCGTGAAAGGAAACATATACTAAGTCATTGTTTTTGTTCTGTAGATGAATATTTAAATGCTCCATTTTCTCCTTAGCTCTAGTCATTAGTATTGTATTCTACTTATAACTTTGATCTTTGACTGTGATATTTTATTATTGTACATTTGTTGGTTATTTACATATTCATTGTTATTATATTTATTTTTGTGTATTTATGTGATGTTAGATGTTAGTAGTTTACGATATAGGTACATTTTATCTTGTTGTTACTGTTACCACACATTGTAATTGACGAGTCCTATATTCAATAGCGGTCATTCGGACTAATAAATTAAGAATTATGAATTTGCGTATAAAGAATGATGGATTTTTACTAAAACATAACTTGTAGCCTAGATAAAAACTCCTCGTGTTCACACCATCATTAGAATTTTTTGTTTCGTGAGAATCATATTATTCAATTAAATTCTCTTTGAACGGTATTTGCTTTATACCCATTATTTGGCTTCTACCTGCATTTCATGGCTTTATTTTCGCATTCATTTAACTTTTGTACTTAAACTGCCGTTGAACGGTCGTGTACTAAAATGCCGTTAGCATATATGACGTCATTTATATGACGCGTTTGACGGTATTTGCTTTGGCTGCCGTTCGTTTTAAGGTCATCTTAGCAGTTTTGTAATCAATTGACGGCATCCTCTTATATTACCGTGGCTCCAAATTATGGCAATTATTCAAACACTTGAGGCAAATTAACGTAATATTTTTGTTTAATCATTACAAACGTACTGTGATTTATTGAAAAAAAAAAAACACAAAATGTATCAAACACAAAAAATACATAATTCTTAGTAGCAATTTCTACAAAACCACTGTTTTGATTTAGGCCGCCTAGATAATCCTAAGCAACGAATATTTTTCCACAGAAGGCAACCACTACAACAAACTGCTGTTTGGTCGTTTTGATTGCCTGCACCACACACAGAGCAAGACCAGTGTTGCTTAAGTCGTTTTTGTTCCACTAGGTTAAAGATCTTGTTAAAGGCTTCGTCTGTGCAAAAGGTTCTGAAAAAACACAGTTTAAAATTAATTAAAGCATAAGATAGATTATAGCAAGACTTACTTCATCAAGTGGACGTCAACGCTATTATCTAATACAGCATCAGATATTTCTTCTGGAAACGATTTAAGATCTAAATCTTCAAGAATTTTACCATTTTTAATATCTTTAACAATATCACCATTCTGAACAAAGAAATTTAGTATTAAATCCTGTTTTTCCTGATATGATTTCTTTGAAAACGACAAGGGTTTTCTTTTCCTTCGTTTTGGTAATCCTATTACTGTTAAGTCTTGCCCTTTTGGGCGTCCTCGTTTCTTTATTGCAACTGGCATTTTGATAGTCGACAAATTAATGTCATTTACTTGAACAGTTTGCTGGGATTGGTTGTTGCAGTCACGTACATTAATATCAGCGGTAACAGGAACTTCATTTTCTTTATTTGATTCTTCCATATTGACCTCCTCAATAACTTCAGTGTGGCCCAGAGATGAGAGATTTACGTCACCTAATATATTTAGGTCTTGGATAACCACTTCGTTACAAAACTCTGAAAAATTTTCATTTTCAAATACTACTTCATCATTACTTTCAACAATAAATTGCCGGTCATTTTCGTCTCTAACTTCTATAGGCGTAAGTAGAACAGCAGTATCATTAGCCCACAATGTTTTGAGATTTTTTAATAGATTAAGCCTTTGCTCAAATAACATGCCCGTACGTTGTGCTGCTAAGTCGGCAAGTTCAGTACATAACAGAAGACATTTTTTTCTTCTTTGTGCATAGGAATATATTGGTTGATGCCCTTGTGTGGTCAGTGATACAGATATAGTGCTATCATTAGATGTACATGGCAAGTGATATCCTGTCGATTCATTGTCTTCAAGCAAAGACGTTATAATGTTCGCTGCTTGCCTTTATAATAATCCATGGTCCACCTGTGGTTTACAAGCATTCTATCAAAAAGCTCTACATGTAAATGCCGCCTCAATGCAAAAATATGCTTGCAGGGTAAAATCATTGCATCATACATTACACAATTACACGAAGAAACTGTAGTTTTTGTGGACCCCCGACTATCAGTAATGATGTAATAACCATCTGCAGAAACAGTAATACTTCTGATTTGTTCCGAAATACGAATTTCTCTTAAAACATGCTTTGAAGCTTCACGTGTGAGCAGTTTGAAATATTTTCTTTCATCTGAGTCTTCGGGAAACATGTCGACAGGTTTTTTTAAAATACCATAAACTGCTTTATGATCCCTTTCTGTCTCCAAACTTGAAATAATTGTAAACAAGCTGTTTATAAAATGTTCCAAAGGACTATTTTTGTTTATAACTGACTTTAGTTTAGCGTTAATAGATTCCAGACGGTTATTTAAAAAACTGTTCTTAAAATAATTTTTCCCTAGATTCCACTCATCTTTAGTGTTGTGCCAGTTTTTCATAAAATACTCATACACTGTTCGAGGTACACTATCTTTTAAGCCTTGCATGTATTTTTCGTAGTCATCATCTGTCTTAGCGTAGACCAATTTCTGAATTAGTTCTAAACTAAGTGTACGCTGACTTGGAGTAATTCCCATTTTTTGACACGAAATTTCACGATAAAATATTTTCAATGTGTGGAACACGCATATTATAAGGTTTACATTAGGAAAACAATTCTTAATTACTTCTCTTTCATGTAAGTCCTTGTCAGTCATTATGCATTTCACGTTTATCCATGCTGGATTCTCACTTTTAAAGGTTTCTAAGAACCAGGTGAAACTTTGTCTACCTTCTGATGCCAGTATACACACACCCACTATTTCAGTTTGACAATTACCGTCTTCTACAATTATAAGAAAAACGGGTAATCCTATTTTAAGTAATTTATATGTTGCATCTACTGCAAGAAATTCTGGAAATGCATTCATGGTGCTTTTCATAGCTGGCGTTTGAATAAAAAGACCCCTAAAATTATTGTCTACGTCTCGCAATACAGCTGCATGGGCACCTAAAAGTAATAATAGATAATTATTTAACACTACCACAATAATAAATCCTCCAGGTTACCATATTTCGTTTTGAGTATTTTTAAGCAGTTATCCAGATTTTCTGTTTTGGATTGGTCATTTTTGGTTATATTTGTTAAATCTTGCAAAGTAATGATTTTACCAGTGCTTTCTTGCAATTTTTGTTGTATCATTTTTCTATTTGCTTTCATATTCAAATAATCTTTTACACTTTCCTTCATGTTGCTAGACAGCCTTCTTTGACTAGGGGTATGTGCATATAAGACCTGAAAAGTCATAATTATCCATTAAATTCAAATACCTTTAGAAAAGAAATGAACCGATTTCAAACAATTGCACTAAAAAATGGAAAATAATTATACGGCTGGATGCACAAAATTATAGATTAATGTAATTGCTATAGACAACTATGAAAATTAAGTTCATTTCATCTAAGAAACTATAGTAATTTACAATCCGAATCCATTATCGTTAAACCCTAAAAATCCAATTATAGATGTAGGTACTTACTTTAGATGTGTCATGATTGTGCTGGCTTTGAATCGACGTTACTTCTAATGCATTTCCATCTAATGATGCCTTGAATCTTACATGTACAGGACAATCTTCTTTAAATGTCCAAGACTGCCGAATTTTCTTACCACTGCTCTTGAATTTCCTTCCACCATGATTGCATGCATAAACAAGTTGATAATATATTAAAGAACTTTTTATTTGTCTAGCAATTTTACTACTTGCAATAGTACGTGCATCTCGTTTCCAAAATGTCGTATACGTATTGTCACCAAGTTCCGCGATGGCTTTTTTTGCATCCGCAAATGAGGTAAATCTATCTCCAACTTTTAACATTCTTGGCATGTATAATAGGTATCTAAACCTAACTTAACTAAAAGTAGATAAGAGCAATTAGAAAACGTATGGACTATAGCACTTACCTCATTCTATATCAACAGATCAGATTTAGTTCATATTTGGCACAAGTTGTTCCAACAATGATTAACAACAACCACTTTAACTTTGAATACGCTCTCGGCAAATATAGTATATTAAGTAACATGCACTAACAGCTGTAACGGCAGTATAATAAGATGCCGTCAATTTGATGACGAATCTGCTAGTACTGTCAAACGCGTCACATAATTGACGTCATATCTGCTAACGGCATTTTAGTACACGACCGTTCAACGGCAGTTTAAGTACACCG